TGATGACAGGTCATGTAAAAAAAGTGAAGAAAAAAATAATCCGAAACGATTATGTAGGTTTGGAAATTGGTGAGCTCCCCAATATATGCTGAGCAAGCCACAGAGCTTCTACCGCTTTCGATGACCAGTTTGTGTCATCGAGTCTTATTGTTCTTTTCTACATTTCCCAACTAGAGAAAGAAATTTGTTCTACACTTTGCAGTGTTTTAGAACATCGACGCTGTTGAGACTGTTTATGTGTGATAAACTCCGATGTATAGGGTCAGTTCATCCAACATGCATAGTTATCAATGCTGAGAATGAGTTCGACATTTGGTTGTAGAAGTCCAGCTAAGGGTAAATCAGTGCTGTTAACAGCCTCTGTTATAGACGAAACCTAGTCGCAATGTTGCGATTTTTCTTACGAACCAAGACCGCTTATTACTGAGTGACGGCCTATGAACACTAGGATATGGGTTTATCCAGAGTTCGAGGAGAAAGCTTTATTAAACCACCAGCGTGTCGGTTAAGTGGAAGTTTCTTTGGTGCCTTATGAGGTCACTTGAGAATCAACTAAAAAGCGTAAGGCGTTCAGTGTTGGTAAGTTTCGCAAGTTGCACTCCGCTCCACTAAGCATTGTAAAGGTGACTGGATTTGGCGTATACAATGGTTTACGAAAACCCACGAAGCAGTGTTTTATTCTCTCAGACATATCTGGTACTAATTTTCCAATCTCAGGGATTGACAACGAAAGTCTGGGATGCGGAATCGAACCAATGACCACATAACCACCTGTTCTACACTTGTAAATACCAATTACCAGCTGCGAAGCGCTCCATACCGAAAGCTATGTAGCGAAATTGACGATGGCGTGAAGAATTACTTTTTTTTTTGCCAGAGGAATCGAGCGCTCTTCCGGAGGCGGCAGTGGAGTGGCGTGCGATCGCTGCCCACTGGCCGACACGGAGTCATTCATCAATTTTGTCCGCTATGGGATTACGCTATGCCATGCCAGCGTTTCTTTTTACACTCTGTTCAACGCCGTCTCCGTTCGCACGTCGCGAAGAGTTGCCGCCGTCACGGCATCTTGTTGGTATCCAGAGGCGTTGGTCGATTCGTCGTCATTCTTATGACTCACTGTAAACTCCCATTTTGAAAGAAATCGCACGTCCAAGTCACTGAAACAGAGAAACCAGGGAGAAAAACACACATTCACAACAGCGAACGCCACCAGGGAAGAATTGCACATTATCTGTGTATCTCAGGCACCATCTATCTGCACAAGAATATTTAATGACTGTTTTTATGAGAAAGATAGCTAGAAAGAAAGTAGAAAGCACAGTAGAAAGTTTGCTTGAAGTTTTACCATAAAATCTGCCATCTCTATGTAACGCCCATAGTCATTCGGACCCTGAGTTTGCCCAGTGAATTTGTTGGTTATTCAGGTTTAGGTTAGCCGGTAGTTCATTCATGTTCGAAGATTAGATTTGAAGATTCTCGCGCTTTCAGTTGGTGGCTGTCATAAGTCGTTGAGCAGGCAAAATCCATATCCATTGTTTCATCGAATCCATGATTTGAACGCAAATTTAGATAACTACATATCGTCAGATTTATCAACGGACCGATTTTAGCACTAGTATCACATTTTAAGGCGCATTTATAGAAGAAGTTAGGGGTACTGTCGAATACATTCATGGTCGCATTTTCGATCCCACGCCCCAGGGCAAGCAAGCTCTCATCCCTCCTAAATCGGCAATAGGACCACACTTGTCTGGGATGAGAGCAGCATTGAATTTATATATCGATAAGCTTCGACAGTCATTGTACAGCCCAGATGTGCATTCAATCACCTCCAACGATGCTTATGCAAGTCGATTGCTTGAAACGTCCCTCATGAATTTACCAACGCCGAACGCATTAACCTCCACCTTTCTATAACATGGCATCGATGACATTTTCTATAATCATTTAGACAGTGAAGTTATTTTTGACCGAGAAGAAAGCCGCTCTCCCTTTTCGACCGCCTTTATTTACACTTTTTAATTTTTGTCTTCTATCGCTTTTTCTACTGATTTCCTCTTCGCTTCTCTGCGGTACAGAGCCGCTTTGAATCTAATCCCATCGAATGTGCCCAGCATTCAACGAGCATATCCTTACAGACCACTGAAGCTTTTGCTTATACCTTTGCTGTCTTATTTCAGTTCCTTTTTCTTATAAGTGGTTTTGTGACGTATGTCGTTCCTAATCTGACATTGGAAAATTGCAAACTCTCGAAAAAGTCTATATGAGATAAATTAATCGAAATATTCAACTTATAAAACTTTAAATCTCCGGAACCTTCGAGCCTACTCTAATATTTAAAACCTAGTGTTTTTATCCTTACATAGAGAACATTAAACCACGACTGTTTCAGCAAACGAACTCCTCCGGGAATATAAGGCTGAGCGCTTTTTTTCACGTCGCCCTTCTGAGCGATGTATTGACGACATCAGCGCTCAAGTGACTTCACCTTCTTAAATCAAAATCTAGTGCCGACGCTTGGCACATACCAAGGAATGAGGAGAACTTGATGAAATGGCCTCTGCAAACCTATTTCATGCTATCGTTCTGGTTACAAGCACTATCTGTCCCATAGGAAGTGGGTGCTGCGCAACTTTCTGTCACCAGATTCTTGGTTTTGAAAACGCGCACTTTTATGACCTGAAGTCTTCCTCTTTCTGTTTATCGTCGTGTATTCATTAGAAGAATTCAAAACGTAGTTTAACCACAGTCACCTATGCTCTATTCCGAGTCAGTCCAGCTCACTGAGTCAGTAATGCATGAAGTTGGGTTGGCACAGAGGGAGAGCTCAGAAGAATTCACACCAGTTGATGGATGAGAGTATGCTTATGTGACAACGGTGAAACAGTGTCTGAAGAGTTTGAACAATTGTATTTTCTGAAAAAACGATACGCACTGCACTTTCTGGTTGTTGGTGTGAGAACAACCGTCAGCTCAGATGGAGAACATAAGCTTGTAAGAGCATCCTATACCGCGAGCTGTTGTCGAACGGTGAGATGTACACGTGGGCGTCGGCGTAAAACAAATTTTCTGGGTTTATTACTTTTCAAGAGAGGAGAATTTGAAGGAGAAGTCGACCATGTCACGTTCTTGGAGACGCTTAACAGGACGCCGCTTTATAAAAATACGCCGCTTTGGGGAATGGTTCCACACCTGTACTTTCGTCGCCGGACTTTCATATTTTGCGAGCTCTTTGAGGCTAATAATTTAATGGCTTCGATTCAACATCGAAGAGCTCCTTGATTCACATTCGCCGAGGTTATTTTAAAAAATAGGTGGCTCCGTCGTACGTACGGTGTCGTACGGCTCATGAGGTCGACTATCGTCGCTATTAGATCGTGTGTTGAAATTTTGTTTCGACATGATTTTGAAAGAAAACCACAAAAATGGTGTTAGTTTTATCTCAACTAATAAATGGACGGCATGGGTGGTGCTGATGTAGGCCACTATTCCCAACTGACATCAATATTTTTCACGGTTCTAACGACGCTCTTTCGGATGAACTCTGACGCTCAACGTATGAGCACACCCCAGGGGACGTGGTTCGGCAATCCTTTCGAACAAACCCTCCCATGTGGGATTAGGTTCTGAGCGCCACCCGTATTGCTAGTCCGTTAAACATTGCATTTGAAGATGTTCGTTACACCAGACTTATTATTTCAAGATGTTTCTGCTCGATCAGAGCATCACACAGCTTTCCAATTTTCAAGAATTTTCGGTGTAGCTTTTAATTGAAGTCTTCGTTCTTTGATTCCTTGTATAATCGTTATAGCGGTGTTTCGTCAGACATGCAAAAGTTCCAGAAGTAACTTTGTTGTAAACTAGTGATTTTCTCAACGAATCCTTTCGAAAGCTACCACAACAAAAAAATTTATACTTCCTTCTGACGTCTATGGCAATAGGGGCAAAATAGAGACAAATGTATGGCATATGTCACTTTATAGTTTTCCCTATTGGTTGGTTTTTCTGCCTTTTTCGCAAGCCATGCAAAGCGAGCCGAATGTCCTACTCAGTGGAGACCATGTTCAATATGTAAACTTTAAATTATTGTAAAAACCGTGCACAGGCCACTTGAGTATTTATTTTAAGTAATACCAGTTTGAAAAGTAATAGAGGGCAGACTACGGGAAATATCAATTTAGTATGACACTGATGTTTAGTCACGACGGTTTATTCTATCATCCAAGGACTTCCTTCTTCTGTTCGATAATTCTGAGCAAGACAGAAAGGTTATTAAACATTTATTGCCGAATGAGAATATCAAAACATGCAAAGTGCTTGAGCAAAGATTCATCTACCTCGACGCTAAAGCTTCCCTTAATTACGTCCCCTCTCCCCATTTTTCTTTGTTTATCATTGGTTGATGAAATCCTAACAAGGGTACAAGAGCTCTATGCGCTTGTATGCTTATAGTACAAGTTAAGAATCTTAATAAGTCACACAACAAGAGTGAAGTTTTCATGTCGAACACTGGAAATTTAAATTCTTTTAAATTCTCCACTCTTTGGCGGATTTATTGCCCAGTACTTGCCCAGTACTTACACCTGCCCAGTACTTTCGTTCCATCATCTAATTCATCCACAGCCTAACTTATACCTTTTATATTTAGTTTGCTTGCATGTTCCGTTTTAGATATGTTCCCATGCTTAAAGGAATAAAACAATAAGTTATTATTCAACAAGGTTCCAGCAATCTAACCTAAAAGGCCGTTTCATAGTCACTGCTATCCGCGAAAATGTGAATAGATCGCGGCTGTAGCTGAGCTTCATCGAGAAGATTAGTTAGTGTGGAGGAGATTATCTTACTATTTTCCATCTATTAATGGCACGTAATGATCGCCAGGAGTGAAAAGATGTAAACCAAATCTCTTCAAGAAATCGTACTTTTTCTTTTCCTTCCATTCCCTAGCATTGGACCGCTTAGGTAGTGGGAATTATAGAGAATTGTCTGGCGAAAGAACTTCAACCGGTTAAATGCACCGCAGTGGTTCTAAAGCGTGATTGCAATTGAGCTAAGTGACGTCGTTGGCCGGCTCGAAAATGATTCCTCCACTGACTGGTTTTCTTTGAGCGTATTATCATCGGCTCATTTTCTCGCCCAGCCAGCAGTTGACTGATTGCTTCCGTTCTCATCTGCGACTTCCACAGATCACCCATCAGCAGTCGTCCGTCAACGAAGCGCTCGTCGTCTCCATTCGCAGAAACCGTCAGCCACTTGTCTTCGTCGTTTCGGCGTAAATTTAGGCAACGGAGAGGTTTATTTCCGGAGCCGTCAATTGTTTCCTCAGAGCCGCCGTGACGGCCATCGCATTCTGGATTTTTAGAGAAATGCCATACTTCCATTAAGCCTAGATGGAGTAAATCTTGAGAAAGCACTACTTAGGTATTCCTATTGCTATCAAGTCTTAGCAAACTCTTAAGATTTCAGAGGGATAAAAGTAAAAATGCAAAACAAACCAGCAAATCGACAGTGATTTCAAGCCAAAGTTGTTAATGTGTTACTGAAACTAGGCAGTGAAACGTCCTATCATTTCCATAATAATAATTTCAAAATATGAAGTATTTTGAAGGAGAACAGGCACTACTCCTGACTTCAGACAAGATTTTGTATCGTAATGCCAAGAACGACTAGCAACTAATACATCCGTGGCGAAGCTGATTTCTCAATAACTTTCAATAGTTTTTCGATAACTAGAGCACATCAGAGCCACAAGATCTATTAGTCGCGAAGGCTTTCTCTTATCGCTTTAAGGGTACACAGAATTTCACCGCATTTTTACATATGTCTGGAATCAAATTTTTCGAAAAATTGGAAAACCAAGTCCAAAGCTTCAAAATTTCCAACACAGGCTGCCCCGCATGCATCTAGGATACGCTAGAGGACCATCATATCCTGCAGAAGGGATTAACTTTTCACAATTTATCTTGTTGAGCAAGCACGAGGTTGTTATTGCAGCATTCATTAATTCGCAATATTAATTTCTAGTTAAACTTACAAAGAACGAAACGGTGACTGTTTATTTAGTTGATACCTAATACTTGAATGGCCCGTCCTCACTAGTTGTGCGAGCCCCAGCACAATCTCCATTCTTCGGAGATTTGCTGGTTAAGACATTGTGGTTCCTTGGAATCCCGCGGTCAGCCTGGCCAAAGTCTACCCCAGGTCTTCACCACGACAGACAGCCGCAGCCCTTGTGGATCAAAGGGAGGTTTGCCACCATGCAACTAATTCGATACCAGGATGGTGGTGGATCCTGGTATTGGTTTACTCCTTACTAGGCTTCCTGATAGAAACGCCGGATACCTTCTCAGCTTGGAAGACCCTGCCAGGGGATGAGTCCCCCACTGTACATCGCAGTCCGGCACCCAGGAACACCTCATGGCCACGATGAGGTGGTAAACCGTTGGGATAGATGAGTGTTTAAAAGTGAGAAATTTGCTTTTGAAAATTTTTTTTGAAAAAAAGAAAATTTGCAAAAAAGCGTATTTCTTAAATGTTATCTGCTGAGGTTGTGGTAGTGTTTGATTGAATGGATTGTATGCCAATTTGACTTTTCCAGGCTCTGAAGAAGGCGAAGCCGCCGAGACATCAGCTATTGTGAATGAATAGTGTAATAAAAACCTCGAGTCTGCTCATCAAGAAAGCGGCGAATTATTGATGCATGCCAGGGTTAAAAGAAAGACGGTCCTAGGATTTGCAATAAATGATTTTTGTTCAAGTGCTGTTAAGTTCAAAACATACGAGTCTCGACTAGCGGAAAATAAATTCAAGAGCACGAGAATGGCGGAATTTCACTGCGATAGGAAAAAAAGGCATGTCTCTCGTAGGCAGAGATTTTTAGGATATAACAGTTCTTATGGCGATTACTAAGCTTCGCTTTGACCAGGGATATGCTCGCTTAGGATTCAAACATGCCAGCATTCTTGCACAAAATGCATTGAAATCAATACGTTCCATCATTGTATTCAAACTTCGGCATTAATTACTAAATTGTGCGTGTGGAGTTAATAGTAAACATGCAAAAACAAATGCATATCATTATTATGATACATGAAGGAGCGGACAGCACAGTGATAGAGATGTCCGTCATCACGAGCATGGTGTTAGTTTGATTCCGCTTCGGGCCAACCAAGCCTCTCATCCCTGCGGGATCGGGAACTTGGTGCTGGACCTATCGTGGAAAAAATCACTCTCTGCAATCCAATTGGGAACGTTCCAGCTCCTATCTCAGGACCCCAGGGAGAATTTCTCGACCAGCCTTCTACGACATTCAAAACGAAATGAAAATCCTCAAGTGGTAACCGAAGCAACACGTAAAAAGTTGGAAGATCTTCGTGGACAATGGTTGCGAGGAAACGAATCGAATGTGAGAAGTGTTGGGATCCGCTCAGTAGACGTGAAGACGGGTCTTGTGAGATAAAAAATAAAACATACGTATATACTAAATATATATATATACATATATATAGTCTCCTTGTGTTGAAAGGTCGAAATCGTTCCCAGAGGTTACCTAAGCTATCAACTTCTGTTCGATTTGTGGAAAATCATCGCCAATAATTGAAAAATGCACACAGTCGTGAATGTTCATGACTTTTTTTAAACTTCATCCAAAAACCATTCAAGAGTTGATATGTTATAAATACCATATTAGCTACCTCATATCAGCATGTTAGCGACTCTACATTTTCATATGAAGCCAAGTTCCTCGAAAATTTAATCGCTGTGTGAATAAAACTATCGTAATTCTCTCTACGAAGCTATGAAGTTTTTCAACAGATGTCCATTATTACTGGTGATTTGGAATAGCATGCGCTCTTCTCCAATGTCAGATACGACCGACATAAATTTAAGTCGAGTTGATTTCTTCAAAAGAGGCCTATTACCCTATTATTCTTTCATTTTCTGATTTGCTGGTCCATCTATATGAGAATATGTGAAGTATCTCCCGTACTGATACTTGTTCCCGTTGCGCAAAAGTGCTTCAAGTCGTCAATCAATACGCACATTTTTCACGACGGTACGTTATATCATAGGCAATTGTGACATTTTGTATATGCTATGTTCTGTTATTAAACTCTGAATCACCTGCACTGACGTCTACGAGACTACCAGTAGTGTTCTGACAAGCAAGGAAAATTTGTTGAACTCAGGATGGTTGTCTCGATAGATATCTAAGTTCTTCAATGAAATAGTTGTAAGTGGCTCGGTTCATTTTAAATAAACCGATAGCCGAAAATCACGTGTTTACGAAAATATTTAGACTATCGAGATGTGGTAGACGCGTTGAAAATCTGTAATTCACTGTTCTTCTTGAGGATCAAACGTGATGATGGACAAAGTCTCTGTGTCTATTCGGCCATTTAACCTTGGCCGGGCTCGTCATTACCACACAAAATTCATACGCTATGGCTGTGAATCTTTCTAATACCGACTCGTTATAAGGTGTTGTTAGAGAAGCCGGGTATAGCAAAGCAGTTAAATGCATCCTGAAAATATGCAAATTATCGTTATTTATAACAAACACACTAAATTAAGCAAGCTCTCTATCTCTTCTAGGTCGGAAAATAGAAATAGCCTTTTCTGAGGACATAAAAACACTGAATTATGCATTGCTAAACCTCCAAAATTCATTGTGCAATCTCATTTTGCATCCAATCACCTCCGTCACACTTAATGAAGTTTCACGCACGGTGTAACCTTAAAAGATTGATCAACGCCGAACATTTAATCCTTTAATTTTATTGACTAATATTGGATGAGTTCTTCATCATTGCGTACAACTTATGTCCTTTAAGCTCAGTTATCGCATCGTGGTGAACTATTTCCTCCATTTCTTGACTTTCCAGCACTCAGCGACTTAGTGAATGGAGAACTCTTCGGGAGCATTTCGAAAAGCGATATCGCTCCATTATTCCAAATTAATTAGTAAGATGAAGAACTTCTCTCCAATGTTCAGTATCGACATGATAAGTGACGATAACTTATGGGAGGAGGAAATGAAATAGGAAATCTAAGAGGGAAACTACATCATTCGTTAGTTACCTATTAGGGTAAGTAAAATAGCGTGGAAGAGACGTGGTGTACAAAAACGGGTCAGATATTATGTGCAAATAGAGAGCAGCCTTCATTGTTTTTTTCATGAAAGGTCTGTCCTCCTTCCGGTTTTTAAGTACTTAGGATGATAAAATCAACTCATTCGGTGTACAAATACAACTAAGAACATATTTGTCGGTTCAAAGAAGCACTAGAATAAAGACTGAGATCGAGTTCACCAAAAAGGCACCAGTAACAAAGGTTCTTTGAAACCAGTTTATAGGCTTAGAGTTCAAAGTTCATCAACGAAGAGGCGAATAATTTCCGACCGACAGTCAAGTCAAATCACTCACTTATCTTTTATCTAGAAGAGAATTATACGGGATGGAAGAAGTGAACCTGCCAACAACTGATACGACGAGGGTGTGGGGCTCAACGAAATGAGCAAATGCACTGTTTCAGCGAAGATGACGGTCGCCGTCATCACATCGAAATGATCGCGAAAAAAGGGTAGCATCAGTGTTTTATAGCCACCCACAATGAAGACAAGTCTGCCACAAGACGTTTTCTGTTGTAATCTTTGTTCACTTACATACTAACGGTAAGCGATGAATACATAGTGTTTCTTCCATTATATGGCTAGTACAGCAACTACCAGTTGCAGTACGAGTCATTCTTTTAAATCCCGATCACATCGTCGACCTCTGTTTTGTTGTGTCGATAAGCTTACAGAAGATCCTTATAAAAACTCTTTAAAATTGTTGCCAACGTTTCGGTATCTTTAGAGTCATAATGTTTTGAATCAAATGCCTACAGATCAGCTATTCTCGCGACGAGTAAAGTTGAGTAAGTTGAGTAAAGTGGAACACCGGCCGGAGACGTCAACTTCTTTTCACAACTGTTCGACGAAACTCGTCCTTTTTCTCGAGACGTTGTGGAGACGAACATAACCTCATCACGATTGTCATTTCCCGACTTTGAGAATTTTTGTCGTTTTCCCAGTTCCATTCAATCTTCTTTACATCGTTAGTGATTTGAACGAAACACTCCAATTCAATCTTCCTCTTCTCATTTTGCGCTGTCTGAAAGTTCTCATCTCTTCAAATGGATTGGCCAGCAATCCGCTTCGTATCGTTTGTTCTTCCGAAAATTATAGTAAACATTATGGATAGAAAGAAATAGACAGAAAAATTATGTGTGTAAAAAATCAGTCTAAGAAAAATCTCTGCCGCAGCTACGAGGGACCCGAGGAATCTGTGGCAGATTATTAATTTGTTCTTTTTCTTGTTTTTCCAATGTTTCATAACTC